CCTACTTCCGTAGTGATACTGCCTCGGAAACCCAAGGAGGGGTCGCTATGAGTCGGGGCTGACTCGACGGCAAACAACAACAACAACAATATCCCCCTATACTAAAGAAGTATAAAAGCCCTAAACTAATTGTCTCTTAAATGACCATTTTATCCATGGCCTTAAGGTGTGGAAGTAAGTAATCTAAGAAAGAGCTGAACAAAAAGTTCTTGGCTAATTTCTATCAGTGATGTCAATAGAGTTTTAGGGGGAGAGAGTGGGGTCATCTTCAGTGCTGAGTGTGCCCTTCACAATGCCCTTGTGTTCCTTTCACAACCAGTGCTTCCCTTCTAGTATTCTACTCATTCCTTTTTTTTTTTTTTTAAATAATTTTTATTGTGATTTGGGTGAAAGTTTACAAAGCAAATTCATCTTCACAGTTCACATACATTTTGTCTCATGACATTGACTGTAATTTCCCATAATGCAACAGCTCTCTTCCTCCCCATAGCCACCTCTTCCCTGTGTCCTTCCCTCCCATGCACTCCTGCCCCAGAGCTGTCTCCCTGTGCATACACAGCCTTTCTATTCTCCCATGATTGATCTCACCAGGGAGTATATCTACCTAATATAAATGTTCAGCTCATATGCCTGTTTTTGGTTCAGCTCTAAGCCACAAGGGTAGGTTCAATTCTAGACCTAAAGGGCAGTTAGGGGCCATAGTCATAGTCTCAGGGGTTTCACAAGGCTCTATCAGACCAGTAAACTTGGTCTTTTTTTTTTTTATGATTTTGAGTTTTGTTCCACATTGTTCTCCAATGCTATACAGAATCTCCTACATATATCCCCCTCTAAGTGGTTGACAGTGATAGTTGGGCACCATCTAGTTCTTCTGGTTTCATAGTCATATACACTGAGGATCTCTTGGACTAATTATTTCCTTGCATCTTTGGTTTCCTTCATTCTTCTTTGTTTTAGATGAGGAGAGACCCATCCTTGCATCTAGATGGCCCCTTGCAAACTTTTAAGATCCTAGTCACTACTTGCCAAATATTCTACACATTCTTAATGAGCAATATAGCCTTCCTATAAAGTAGCCAGGGAGTCACATGGTGGTGAAAATGGTTGGTGTGCTTGTTAACAGCCATTGAAAATCTTACTCTGACATACACGTAGCTGCAACGAGTCAGAATCAACTTGATGGCAACTCTTTTCCTGGAAAGAGCAGCCAGGAGCCACTGCTGAGTTACTTGGCCAGTGTTTGTGGCCCAGAGTTCTTTAGCAGTAGGCTCTAGTGGCAGATTTGAAGATGACTTAAACCAATAAACTCAATTTTCTTATTTGTAAAAGAATAATAATGCAAGCCATCTTCATAATATACCAAAACTCAAAAACCAAACTCACTGCCATCGAATTGATTCGACTCATAGCGACCCTTCCTTGGGTTTCTGAAGCAGTATCTTTACAGAAGTAGACTGCCCAATCTTCCTTCTGAGGAGTGGCTGGTGAATTTGAACCACTAGCCTTCTGGTTAGCAGTCAAATGCCTTAGGCACTATGCCACTAGAGCTCCCTCTTCATAATATGTAACTCTCAAATTGTACTCCTGGGTTTCAAAATTTTCCTAGGTTCCCTTGCTATCTATACCAAATTCAATCTGACACATTGGCCTAAATTTCAGGGCCCTGCATGCTGGGGCCACAATTTTACGATTCAGCTTCACCTCATATCACGTCTTTTTAAAAGACTTCAAGTTCCAGGCCTTCAGGCAAGTTATAATTCCCCCAAAGCTGTCACATCATGCCTTTCTTCATGTTATTTTTTCCTACCTGACTCTCTTCAATCTTCATCTGTCAAAATCATTCCAGGCCCAGATCAAGTACCACCTTTGTGGGTGGAGACAGTCTCCCACCAGCCATGGGTATCTGCATATGTCCTTGCTGAGCATGCCAAACCACAAAGACTAACAAACTTCTGACCCTGAGCCATTACTGGGGCTGGACACATAGGCAATAAAGCACTTCAAGGTGGTCACAGCATAATTGCTGTGGAGCAGGGGATGGGCTTGTTTGCTGCTCACCACAAAAGGTGCTGAGCCCTTGATCTTGGGTCCTTCAGCTGTGCAACCCACTAATTGGGCCCATTGTGTCACATCAGGGGCACCTGTGCTACTAGGCTGATGCTCCTGCTGTGAGCAATAAACTGCTCTGGTCCATCGAGTCTCATGTCTACTTTTGGCTCCTGTGAAGCTGTGGAGAGCCTACCTGCTCACTCAATTAGGCGTCTTCACTGGAGTCTGGTTCTGCTTGCCATCTTCTATGAGGGTGGGGTTCATCTTTGACAATCTTCTTGAGAAAAAAGTTCCCTGAAACTTCCAAGAGGAATTGCCCAACTGCTAAGCCTTGTATCTCCTTGATGTTATGCTATGGATAGCCCACACTCTCTTCCTACGAGGTCCTAAGCTCCCTGAAAGCTAAAATCAGAGAATAGCAGAGGGTCTTGCCCCTAGAATGAGTTCTATATATATTTATTGAACAAATGAATGAAAGGATGAATGAGGGAGGGAGGAAAATCCCAAAAACTCCTTGGAATTTTATAAATACTAAGTCACTTCTAATTTTCACTACTCTCACTGAAAGGTATCTCACAAAACTCAATAATATCAGGTCTTTTCAAGCAAAATGAAAGCTTCTAAAACAGTAGTAAGCTGGCAGATCAAAAAGAGACAACTAAGCACAACGTTTTAGGGTTGAGACTTACAGAAATCTCTGCACTCTGCCATATGTGGGATATCCGGTAGCCCATCAGTTTCCCATCCTGCCGCTTAATTGGAGGTTTGACCCATGTGACATCCACATTATTATTAGATTCATTCAGAAACACAGTGACGTTCAAAGGTGCTACTGATGGGGCTAGAAAAGAAAAAAAGAGAAAACCAAGGAGTCACAAAGAAAAGCACACATAGATTCCTTCTCTTCTTGGGGTACAGGTGTTTAGTTTTCAAATGTTCTATGAAAAGGACTCGAATGATACAGAACTTATAGCAGACCCCCCCTTTTAATTAAAGAGCACTGAGTTACAAAATGGGTTTTTAAAAATAAGCTTTTAACAGGCTACTGAAGTCTTAAGATAAACTGATTAATTAGTCAATAAATTAAAAATATGTGTGCATGTATTATACATATAGTAATTTGGGGAACAAGGCAAAGTTATTACTGTAGTCCTTTTTGGGAAGAGGATACTTGAGTATATTTAAAAAAACTGAAAATCATACACCCTTTGACCAAGTATTGTTACTTCTTGGAATTTATCCTAGAAAACTCTTGCAGCTCTTGTTATTTCATTGCAGCCTAATAGTGATGAAAAAGGAATAAACATGATGCTCAATCAATAATCATAATACACGTTTTGACACCTTTATCTGACAGAATATTTACTACCCAGTTGCTGAAAAGAATTAGGTTTACCTGATGGCAGTGAGTTTTGTTTGTTTGTTTGTTTGTTTTTTATGTATATTGATAGAGCCCCTGGGTGGTACAAATGGTTAGTGTGCTCAGCTGCTAAATGGAAGGTTAGAAGTTCAAATCCACCCAAAGGCTCTTCAGAAGAAAGGCCTGGTGATCTACTTCTGAACAATTAACTATTGAAAACTCTATAGAACATAGAGCTACTCTGAAAACATATAAGGCCACCAAGAGTTGGAATCAACTAAGAGCGATTGGTACTGGTACTGGCATGTGTACTGAAATGAAAAACTATGTGATGGAGAAAAAAAAAATCAAATTATAAAAAAGTATGTATCGATAATTCATTTTAAAAACAATAAAGTATTATATATAGAAAAAAGAAAATTGGAATAATATGCATTAAACTATTACTGGGATTTGTGTTCAGTAATTACATATTTCTGATGTATAATTTAACCCACTCTCAATATATAATCTAACCCATTAAAATGACAGTAGGAGCCCTGTCAGTACAGTGGTTAAGTGCTTGGCTTCTAATTGAAAGGGTGGCATTGGAACCCACCACCTACTCCACAGGAAAAAGATGAGGCAGTCTGCTTCTGTAAAGATGATAGCCTTGGAAACCCTATGGGGCAGTTCTACTCTTCCTGTAGGGTTGCTGGGAGTTGAAATCGACTCAACAGCAACAAATTAAAAAAATAAAAGACAAAACCTATAAACTCACAGGCAGTGAGAAGTCAACTGTGAAAGACTCCTGAAAGAAAAACAAAAGGACACTGTAAACCTCCCTGCCTCTGCTGATTCCAGGGGCAGTAACCATGAAGTTAGATGAATTTCAGTTTAGGAAATATTATACAACTAAAGCTGTATCTATCAAATCACTCACATACTTAATCTGCTGTCCAATTTATGGATAAATATGGCAGATTCAACGTGTATTTATGTTTAGTTTTCCTGAAACAGTAACAAATTAAGAAAAACTATAAACTGACAAAGAAGAGTCAACTGTGGAAGAAGAATTTCCAATGCATTTTTGAAAGGTGAGAAAAAGCTGAAGAAGATATAATTAACTAAGCCAGCTGATTCTCCCAAAGAATTATGGAGGTGTCTTGGACTTAAGCATTGCTCTGATCCTGCCTAAAAAATCCTAAAAGATACAAAAGGATCAAACCGTTCCCAAGTATCCCAGAACAAAGCTCAATGCTTAAAAAAAAAAAGAAAAAATCTAGCGCTCAACAAGGTAAAATTCACAATGTCTAAAATCCAATAAAAGATTATTAGGCATACAAAAGGAAACCAGACATTATCACCTATAATGGGACTATAAATTATTCAACTGAAATCACCCTAGAAATAACACAGACGTTGAATTAGCGTACAAGGACATCACAAGTTATAACTATATTCCATATGGTCAGAAAGTTTAAGTAGCAACATGAAAAATGAAAAAATGGGTGAAAATTACAATGTGAGGATTAAATATAGAGACATAAATAAGTTAAAAGTAACAATGTGCAAAAATAAACCTAAGTGGCTATGTTTATATCAGACAAAGTAGATTTCAGAGTAAAGAGTATTGTCAAAGATAAAGAAGGGCATTTCATAATGATAAAGGGGTCAAGTTATCAGGAGGACAAAACAATATTAAATATTAGTCCACAAAATAATAGAACTTCAAGATATTTGAAGCAAAAACTGGTAGAACTACAGATAAAAATAGGTATATACAAAATTTTAACTGCAAGTTTCAATACCTACCTCTACGTAGTTAAGAAACCAAGTAGGCAAAGAATCAATAAGAGCACAGATTTGAAAAACACTGTCAACCAACTTAAACTAACACGATACACATTCTCTTCAAGTGGACACAGAACATTTCCAAAATAGACAGTATTCCGAGCCATAAAACAAGTCTTGATAAATTTAAAAGGATTAAAATTATACAAAATACATACAGAAATTAATAATACAAAGATCACTGGAAAATTAAAAAATATCTGGAAATTAAGTTACACATTTAAATAACTCATAGGTCAAAGGAAAAAAATCAAAACAGAAATTAGAAAGTATTTTGAACTGAATAAAAATGAAAACATAGGAGGGAAGGAAACACTGCAAAAAAGTGCATTAACCTAAGTCACTTTAGTTTTGTGTATTTCACTGTACATAAATATATTTCAAGAAAATGTATTTAAAATAAAAAAAATTAGAACATAGCATAATAGGATTAATTTTCAAAGGCTTTTCTTTTTCTTTTGGGAAGAGAGACTATTTTATAACTTTCCAATCCGACCTGTCCCATCGTCTGTGTTAGAACTACAGCACTAGTCATATATAAAGATAAGAGCAGGAAAGAGGTTCTGAGTAATCTAGCCTATGAAAATGGCAACTGTGCTATTCAAATTGAATGGAACTGTAATTTTCATTCTAGTATTACCTTGAAGAGGAAAAATCTCAGAAATGAAAAGCAACTCAGAATATTGCTTAAAGATTAAACATGTTAAAAAAAAAGTGCTCTGAGCAGGATAATCTAAAGATATTGCTATCAACTTCATAGGGTTCTGGGAAGATCTAACGAAATAATGCAAATAAAGCATCTAATATGGTCTTTGGTACACAGCTGGTGCCTGATGAAGGTTAGCCAGCTTCATCTTCATTAATTTTCTTGACTTTGATGCTAGGAGTAAAAACTTCTATGTATTTTAATTAAAAAGAATATGTGCTTTAAAAAGTATGCTACTATTAACATTTTCCTATGTCAAAGAAAATATTACTTATACACTGAAAGTATAAGTTTGCCATGAAACCTTTCTAAAGTATATTAGTAAATATACTCTCCCGTTTTCACTGGCCACTAAATAACATTGTCCTCTAGAAACAAAAAACAAACAGAACAAAGTTTGAACTCTAAATTAGGCCACTCGGAAGGGTTTGTTTAATCACTTGCCATCAGGGTAACATTCATTCTGAACTCAGAATTACCTCCTTCAGTCGTGCTGGCCAGAACCCAAGGGCTCACTGCAGACCAGCCTACTTCGTTCATGCAGGAAACACCAATGCTGTAGTTAGCCAGGGCTTGCAGCTGCTCGATTTGATACAGATGTGGCAAAGCAGAAGTGTTAAAAACCATGAGTGAGCCATTACTCAGTACATCAACTTCCTCCACCTGAACGAAGAATAACAAGGTAGACTAAGCATTAGTAAGGTGCTGGGAATGGCAGACATGGGGCATGCATGCATTCGGTGCAGGTGGCCCTTCCTCTCCATAGAGGGGAAGTACCTGCTTCCTTTTAGGGTACACACAATTTTTCCATCAGCATTACGGTGTGTTACTCATGCTACTCGAGCAAGAATTGAACCTCTGAGGAGTGTGTGAAGTATGTGTTCTCACTGTGGCGGGTATCAGAGCAAATAATTATCATTATACTATAAAACAAAGTAGCCTCTCCCCCCACCCTGGAACATTCTGTGCTTCCTTATTTAACCTGTTCCACAGACCTCTCTTCTAATAGGCATCTGCAATTTGACATGATTCTCCATGATAAACCCAGATTTTGCACCACAATCAAGGATCTGAACGGGGAATGCACACAAGGCCTACAAACTCACAGCCTATAGCAAACCACATCAACCTGCTGCCTCTTGTAGCCCATCCAGAAAGGGTTGGAGCTGAGTACCTGTCAGAGCCCCGACACTCCCACTACCCAAGCACTGGGAGATCATGTGGCAGATTTCACAGCCTGAAAGGAAGGCAAGCTCCATTGTGCTATTCATACAGGATTTTCCCTTCATTTCTCTTTATTTTCCCTCCTTCTGGTGATTTTCTGCCCACTCCCACCCCCCATTGTTCCATATAAAGCTGATATCTACAATATAACTATAAACCAGTTTTTTTCCCTTTTTTTTTTTTTAAATGATAGCTCAAGCTATGAAATGATTATACTTTAACCTGTTTCTAGATGACACACTAAGATTATTAGTATGTCTTCACATGAAACCTTTTCATGGTTACTGAAAGAAAATGGCGCTGGATACACAGAGGACCCGAGTATTTACAAACTTGAGGTGATCAATGGAACACTACCTAGTCTTTATGGACTTCCCTAAGAAAATCACTGTGTGGGATATGTCTGACTCTATGATGCATTTAAGGAGCCCTGGTTGTGCAGTGGTTAAAGCATTTAGCTGCTAACCGAAAGTCAGTGGTTCAAACTCACTGGCCACTCTACAGTAGAAAGATGAAACAGTCTGCTTTCATACACATTTATAGCCTCAGAAACCCTATGGGGCAGTTCTACTCTGTAGAACTCATAGGGTGGCTATGAGTTGGATTTGACTTGATGGCAGTGGGTTTTGGGTTAGGTGGCATAGTGGTTAGGTGCTCAGCTACTAAATAAAAGGTCAGTGGTTTGAACCCACCAGCTGCTCTGTGGGAGAAAGATGTGGCAGTGTGATTCTATCAAGATTACAACTTGGAAACCTTATGGGGCAGTTCTACTCTGTCCTGCGGAGTTGCCATGAGTCAGAATCAACTCAACAGCAGTGGGAATGGGATGCTGCCTCTGCTCACATACACTCAGCAGTGAAGAGGTGTTCAGGGCTCCTACCTACTTCACTCCCCTGCCCCATGTCACTGTGTTGAAATAATCATTATTGTTCTTGGCATGTTTCACATTTAAAACACATAAGGATGAAAGAGGGGAATGCAGTTTCATATAAGCTACAGACATGCAAAATGGTGTAATACTTGTGAATAGCACAACATAAAATCAATTTTTAAATGCTCATATCCTTTGAATAGCAATTCTGGTTGTACAAATTCTTCAAGTCCAGCTTATCATAAAAACAACTGAGGTGTTTCCAAATTTGGATGTAAAAGTTGTTCATTCACGTGAATTTTTTAAAAACTTTTTATTCTGAAATAATTATAGGTTAAAATATAAGTGGTTGTTTTAGGAAAAAAATAAAGTACGAGGAGGTCTCACGCATCTTTCACCCAGCCTCTATCAATGGTAGTATCTCCCATCAATGGTAATATCTCACATACCCACAGCAGGATATCAAAATCAGGAAACTGACACTGACACAATTTACAGTCCATGGTCAGATTGTTTTACAAGCACTTACTTGTGTATATAAACCAAAAACCAAACTCACTGCCATCAAATCGATTTCAACTCATAGTGATCCCCTTTGGATTTCCAAGGTAGTAAACCTTTATGGAAGCAGATTGCCCAGTCTTCCTTCTGTGGAGTGGCTGGTGGGTTCGAACAGACAACCTTCTAGTTAGCAGTCAAATGCCTTAGGCACGACGCCACCAGAGCTCCTTTTATTTATGTACATAGTTCTATAAAATTTTACTACATGTGTAGCTGCAGTGTAGTAAATTACTTAGTGTGGCTTTTCTACCCATAAGTCTTTGTAAACTCCAAGATGGGATTTGCTATGAGCAACTGAGGAGCTCCTGATTGCTGAAGGTGTCCACCTGGAGTATTTCTGTTGGGAGTGGCACAAAACAATGTTCTGGGAGGTGCCCACTCTCTCTCAGGTGCTTAGAGTTCTGATGCTATGATTGGCTAGTTTGACCACCCTGCCGGGCTCAAAAGGAGGCCTCCTAGAGGCAGAATGCTCTCTGACTGCTGGTGGAGGAAGACGTGCTGCTGAAAGAGACATGGGTGTTTGCTGGGAAAGAGATGCAAGAGACACGCATTGCTGAGTGAGACACTGAGGGACCAGCACTGCTGGGAAAGAGACTGTGAGAGACTGCTGGCTGAGGGACGGTGGGCTGGGAGAGAGACTGAGCATTTTTTCCCTGAACCTGAATTGTAGCCTGTGGTGCTTCCCTAATAAACCTCATAATCTGTGAGCTCTGTGTGGCCACTGCAGCGAATTATCGAACCCAGGAAAGAGGTGGTGGGTGCTTTGGGAGGAACGGCTGGAGAAAAGACTGGAGGGAGGCAGCATGTCTAGCATCTCAGGAATAGGCCTTGGGCTATTGATAGTAATTCTGTCTTCCTCTTGTGGGATTAGAGGAGGTCAGAACATGTGGCCTCCTTGTCCTTTTTGCAGTAGCTTTCTGTAACCACCTCCACAATCAAGATATAGAACTTGATGGGAACAACCCAAGTGCTCATTAACAAATGAATGCATAAACAAAATTGGTACATAGACATAATCCAGTATTATCAGCCAAAAAGAGAAATGATGTTCTGATATATGTCATCACCTGGATGAACTTTGAAAACATTATGTTAAGTGAAGTAAGTCAGAGAAGCACAAATATTGTATTATTCCTATTTCTATGAGACATCTTGTTGTCACTAGCTCCCATAGAGTTGGCCAGCAATTCACAGCAACCCCATGCACAATGGAACAAAATGCTGCCTGGTCCTCTGCCATCCCCATGACTGGGTGCAGATCGGACCATCGTGATCCATAAGGTTTTCACTGCCTGATTCACAAGACCTTTCTTCCTAGTCCATCTTAGTCTGGAAGTTCTACCAAAACCTGTTTAGCATTATAACAACACACAAGCCTCCAGTGACACAGGAGGTAGCTGTGTGGTAGGTACAGTGGCCAGGAATCAAACCCAGTCTCACACACAGAAGGCAAGAAGTCTACCACTGAATCATCACTGTCCCCATGTATGAAATATTTAGAATAGAGATAAAAGATTCCTGGTTACTAGGGGTTATGGGAAGGGAGGAATGGAAGTGGGGGGGGGGCGGGAAGTTGGGCTTCATCTTACTGACTATGCAAGCACTCAATATAGTTAGCCTTAACTTACTTAAATTCTCCCCTCCCTTGGTTTCTTTAAGGAGCTCTGGTGGGGGTGTGATGAAAGCATTTGGCTGCTAACTAAAAAGTCAGTGGTTCGAACCCACCAGCCACTCTGTAGAAGCCTAAAACTATGGTAATTGCTATGAGTTGGAATCGACTCAGCAATGAGTTTAGTTTTTGGTTGGTTTCTTAAAAAAAAAAAGATATAGATCTGTCCTGTCATCACAAAGATCTTGCTCATGCTGCTCCCGTACAGTCACACCCACCTGCCTACTAAGCCCGGGCAGTCACTAATTTGTTTTCCTTCTCTATAATTTTGTCATTTTGAGACTGTTATATAAATGGAATCACACGGTATATAACATTTTGGGATTGGCTTTTTTCACTCAGCATAATTCCTTTGAAGTCCATCTAAATTTTTACATGTATTAATAGTTCATTCCTTTGTACTACTGAATAATATTCCATGGTGGTTCAAACCCACATAGTAGCTTGTAGGAAAAACATCAGGCAATTTGCTACCATAGAGATTATAGCCTAGAAAACCCTATGGGGCAGTTCTACTCTGTGACATGGGGTCTTAATGAGTCAAAATCAACTCAATGGTACCTAACAAGAACACATGGATGGACCACAATTTCTTCATCCATTCACTCACTGGAGGATATCTAAGTTGTTGCTATTTTTGAGTCACTACAAAGAAACTGCACTGAACATTCATGTACACAGGTTCTTGTGTGAGCAAAGATTTCATTTCTCTGTCATAACTGCCTATGAGTGTAATTACTAAGTCATGTGGTAGCTGCATAGTTATCTTTTTAAGAAAATGTCAAAATGTTTTTCAGAGTGGCTGTATCATTTTACATTTCCACTGGCAATATATAAGACATCAGTTTTCCACATCCTCAGCAACATCTGGGGTTACCACTAGGTGCTCTCAGATTTGGATGCACAAGTTGTTCTTGTGTATCAATTTTAGGGGTAAAAAACTAGTAACAACCTAGAAGGCAAATAATAGGCAAATAATTAGTAGAGGCCTAAAACTGTGTAACACACATTGAAGTGTATGTTACGAAAGTACAAAACTGTATATTATATATTGTGACGTGGAAATGATGAAAGTATAGTGTTACGTTTAAGGGGAAAAAAAGCTGGTTACACAACAGTACGTAAAGCTGGGTATAACTAAGAATTCTGTAAAAAAGTTGAACTATATATATATGTATATATAAGAAAAACGAATAGACAAAATGGTGATAGGTTATGTTCCAAAACATTAACAAGAGTGACTTGTGGATCAGGAGTTGGCAAACCATGGCCCATTTTTGAACTGCCTGAGCTAAAAATGCTTCTTATGTTTTTAAAAAGCTGTAAAATGCTATTTAG